TCGTGTTCATTACTCTTACCGGTACAGACTTCTTCGCTCGTAGCAGGGGTTTTCCAACAGCGACCCCTCGTCCTATTTCGCTGTCATGGTTCCTTGGCTCCAACAGAATAATACTCCCATTATTCGTTTTACCTTCCAGGCGACCATCCAAAAATATCTCACAGCGCTCAGGGATCGAAACATCTTCTGCTACTACCACGCGAAGCGTCTCCTCACATTTTCGATGTAGAACCACTTCTTCTTCATTTATTTTCAAAATTTCTTGTTTGAGGTTTAGTTCAAAACCTCTAGTGGTCACGATGTCCATTCCGAGAATAAGTTCATCTTCGATGTCTGCTACTAACACTCGATGATTAAAACAGGTGCTTCCGATAACAAAATTAAGATCTACCTCTCCATGGATGAGAGCGCAGCTTCCTGTAGCTGTACGTAGTCGCCATTGTGTTGTTTTAATCCTTTTTGATGTTTTAAGGATATCCGGCCTGATGATCGTTTTGGTCGCACCCGTATCCAACAGCATGGTCCGTAACTCTCCATCCACGAAACTAGCCACAAAAATGCTGTTGAACTTGTGTTGTAGCGATGCGACTTGAACAGTTTTCGTTGGAACCTGTTGGGTACTGCTCCATATGTGTCCCTTTGATTCGACACTTGGCGAAACCGAGTCCACGTCTTTTTCTTGACAGTGACTTCTTACGTGTCCTGCCTGGCCGCAATTCCAGCAACAAGTCGGTCCTTTCTTGCCCATGTACTCCTCCATGACTTTCCGTACAATGCTTTCCACGGATTTGTCGGAACATTGGTTGACCGCCCGTACTCTCACTAGAGACCGAGAACTGTTTCGCGGCCTCAAATTCTAGGGCACGTGCTAAAGCATCCACCAAGCGCGTTGGGTGGGCTAGAAGAAGCGCTTGCCTTGTCTCCCTGTCACGTAAGCCATCGGAGAATGTCTGTACTGCCAACCGCTCCATAACATTCTCGGGCGTAGCAGGATACGCAAGGCGAACCAGGCGGGCTACGTCGGCTTCAAACTCCTGCAGAGACTCATTTGACTTTTGAATGCGATTTTTTAGCTGGGAATGATAGACATGTTCCAAATGAGCTTGGCCGTACCTCATTTCTAAATGTCGTACCAATTGCTGATAATCTCCCTGTTCCGATGGTGACAATGTCTGCAGGATATCAGTCGCATCTCCTCGCAATGCGACAGTCAAAGCGGTAGCCTTTTCAGCGATTGTCCATCCATTCGCTCTCGCAGCGGCCTCAAACTGGCAAAAATAATTGGCCCAAGCGGTTTTTCCGTCAAACTGTGGAGGCTTAATAACTGACTTTGAGATATACTTATTTTCGACTAGTTTCGGTGCCTCCGATGTTTCTTGACATTTTGGTGAATTGGCCTTTTCTATTTCTTTGTTTTAAAATTTCGATTTTTCTGTTAACATCGTCCTCAATCTGTGCTATTTTGTCTTGTGTATCTATTATCTTTTCTTCTAATTCCCTGGAGTTTTCTGTTATCTTGTTGTATAAACTTTGTTCTAAATTCAATATTTTATTATTGAAGCTGGCCTGTATGTCTTTAGAATTTTCTGCGATCTTATCTTCTAAATTAACTTCCAAGTCAGTTATTTTACTATTCAAATTGTTCAAGTTGTCGTCTAATTTTTGAGAATTCTCTGTCATTTTATCATTCAAACTGTCTTCTAATTTTTGTAAGGACGAGTCAAGGTCACCTTCCAGCTCAAAGCAAAATGTGTCAGGATCCTCACCTTCCTTAATCAAAACGTCTCTCAGTCTGGTTTGCAAAATACTTTTCTTTCCATCTGTCTCGCTCTCTCTCTTCCAATATGGATTTCAGTTCGGACACTTTCAAGTCTTTCAACAATTTCTTCGGAGCCATTGTTAGTTTTTTATTTTTCTTATCACACACGCCACATCTGACACCAATTGTTACGTTTTTCGTCGGTTCCGTGTGGATAGAAAGTCACAATTTATTTAAACACTATTTATTTAACACTAATTAACAAAAATAATAACGATAAAAGACTTATAGAACTATTTACAAACGATTTATAACTAAGAATTTATTTTGAATTTTAGCGCGTCAACTGTATATTTATAACTGCCCCCTGTAGGCCACGGCCGCCGGCTTTTATACCGGCAGGTAAAGAACTCTAGAATTGTCCATAGATCGTTAGGTGCGTAGAGAAGGTTTTCGAATGTTCTCGTATGTACTCGTCCATTCCAGTGGGACTCGATTCTTCTCGAACGAATGAATCATGCGGTGTCTATGCGATGTTAAGGTCATCCGAGGGCGGGCCATATTGTGAGGTTAGGTCGAGACCACACCGGCCCGCAACAGTATTAAAATCTCCTGATGCTTATTACACATATTCCAAGAAATATATAATATTCTTTTAATAAATAAAAAGCTATAGAAACTTTATACAGGATGATTAACATAGATTTGATATGTTAAAAGCACATGTCTGACATTAATAATATTATTAAATATCTTAGTCCACAGGTATTATGTCAATTTTTAGTAAGTCACATCTAGGGCTTGACCTCGCCAAAATTATCATGGATTGTCATTCCCCAGCCGTCTTTGACGCCGTTTTTTTTCGATCATACAGTACATTACAACAAAATTAAACATAAATGCATGAAAATGATAAAATAAACAAACAATTATTTACTATTTTTATAAGCGACGCCTAGCTTGAATGAAATCTCAACTAATTATACATAATTATCACGGAAATTGTGTATTTTTACTAAATATTTTCATTCAAAATTAATTCTAATTTATGTATCTACGCCTTTGCAACTTCTACACACAGCTTTTCTTTTTTTTTCAAAGTTGACAGATTTTTTTTACTTTTTTTAAAGTTAACCAGATATTCTCAATATTAAATAATACCACCTGTTTATATTTATAAATCTGTTAAATAATGAGCACGTGTTTGCGATTTTTTATTGTTATTTAATAGTTATAAAAAATAAAAAAAATCCTTCTTTAGATACAGGAATACGCCCCCATATTGGTTTGCTCTTGATAATGTACTGAATAAAAATGTTTAATTTTAAATTCTAACGATCTAAATATTGTAATTGTAGAAAATAGAAATTAGTGGTAGTAATTTTAAATTAGTAGAAAGAATATGTATTTTAAATAAGGCATATATACAGTGTGGCCCATTATTACGATACTTATAATATAAAAAAAAATCGAAAAATCGAATAGAAAAAAAATCTATTTTTTTTTCGCACTTATTCCGTTACACCCTGTATATTGTTCACAGGTCTGGATTAGAATTTAAGTATACCTACATAAACAAAGTTTAATATACTGTAATGACTCTTTATTACGGTATCTCAAAGGAACCCTAAACGCGCATGGGAGTGCTATCAATGAATTAGGAAATTGTTAAATAATTTTCTATTATTATCAAATATAATAGCATCTTTTGTATGTACAGGGGGTCCCATTTTCGCGTGTGCATCGTTGTATCTCTACTCATAATCGAGAAACCCTGTAAAACACACGAAAATTGGACACCCTGTACACTCTATTTAGTTATTTATAGAATTTCACCGATTTAGGAATTCTGTTAGATAAATACAAAATGTTCGAAAAAAAAACGGCGTCAGCGAAGGCTATGAAATGAAGATCGCTGTCATTTTATAATAAACTAAAATTATATGGGGACTGTCATCGATCGTCATTTCCCAGCCAACTGGACGCCGTTTTTTTCGATCATACAGTATTTTATTTTGACTTAATTTAAAAAAAAATATAGTTTATTATAAATCACGTACTTTTACCTAGAACCAAACAATACCTAATAAAAATGATGCATGAATCGCCTGCGACCTTCCTAGATACAATTTATTTACAATATCTTCTTTATATGTCCACTGCAAATTTTTTTATAAGTATGGCACATTATACCGGAATGTACTACGTGTCCCAAACATTTCATTAACACTGTAGAGGTCGAATGATTTTTTTCAATTTGTCATAACTCTTCAAACTGAATGTCAAATAATTATTTTGCATATCTATACAGGGTGGTCCGAACTGTATACCGGAAACTTCGGCAGCATATTCTGCAGATAAAAATAAGTAAAAAAGTTCGTATAAATGTACGCCCTAAAATGCTTAGTTTCGGAGATACAGGGTGTAGAAGTTTCATTTTTAGAAAGAAATACATCAAAAATATATTAAAATCTAACATTTCTAATGAGTATTTAAATAGTTTATATAAACATTAAAATAAACTGTACGCCAATAAATAAACAAAAAGATTGCACAATATCGTGACAACTAAATGTTCGGACACTTTAAAAAATAACTGTTCTAATATGGCGTTACATCGGCATGAACTTTTGCAACCACTGCAAGCCTGTTTGGCATTGTTTTTATTAATGATTGACATACGCCAGAGTAAGAATTTTGCCATAATTCACTTAAAATCATCGTCAAATGGGCAACGGTTTCTTGGGGATCGTGGCACAATTTTTGTTTTGTTTTATTTTGACCTTGATGTTCATGTCCCTAAACCATTTTTTAGTAGTTTCATCTGTATGGCATGCCCCGCCATCCTGTTGAAATATAAAATTACTGTCCTGGTCTTTACCAGAACAATTGGTTACATCGTACCTTTGTCCTTCCCACTTGACACAAGAATATTTTTCAAAATTTTTTGACCCATCAATTATGCCTTCTACCACCTCATACTTTTCTGTGTCTATTTTGGACATACTCCTTCAAATCATAATGCCTTGAGGAAATTTCACTGTCCTAAACTTTATCAAATAGACACACTCTAGCGGTGTTAATTATATCGATATTAAGGTGGCTCATGTGCACATGTAATTCGTGCACTTGCCATTTGCGTCGGATTGGGAAATAATTAGATATTTTACGGAATACAGTTCGCACAACCCCCCTACAACATTAATATATTTTTTAATATAACTTTTTTATTCTTTTACAGCGAATCTAGCTGGATTCACATGCGGTATCACCCTCGGATGGACCTCTCCAGTACTACCCAAACTTGAAACCCTCCAAGACAACCCCCTTGGAGCCATCGTCTCCGCTGACGACTCAGGATGGATCGGATCCTTGCTACCCCTTGGAGCAGCACTCGGTCCTTTCCTTGCCGGAGCCTTGTCAGACAAAATCGGCAGGAAACGAACACTACTCTATGGAAACCTGCCTTTCATAGTTGGATTAGTGTTGAACATCATGGCCACTAGTGTAAACTACTTTTTGTTATCCAGATTCCTGTGTGGTATTGCTGTGGGTCTTACTTTCACGGTTTTGCCGATGTATGTTGGTGAAATCGCTGAAGACGAAATCAGAGGTGCCCTGGGAACACTTCTTCAACTCTTTACAACACTGGGGTTGCTGTTTTCTTTTGGCGTTGGACCTTATACAACTTTTACAACCTTCAACGTAGCTTGTCTTGTGGTTCCTGTCGTATTCTTAGTAACATTCTTCCTGTTTATCCCGGAAAGTCCGTATTTTCTACTCCAAGCGGGAAACGAAGATGAGGCAGAAGCAGCTTTGATGAAACTTCGTAGTACCACAGAGGTTCAGGACGTTAAAAGAGAACTAGATGATATGAAGAGTTCTGTAGCTGATGCTCTAGCCAACAAAAGTTCTTTTGGTGATATCTTCAAAAATAAAGGTCTTACCAGGGCATATATTCTGGCAAACGGTTTGTTGGTATTTCAACAGGTTTCTGGTATCAATATAGTTCTCTTCTTTGCTCAGTCCATTTTCCAGGATGCTGGTGTAGCTCTGGCTCCCGAAATCTGCACTATAGCTATCGGTACGGTGCAAGTTGTAGCTAGTGGAGCTTCAAGTGTGCTGATAGATAGATCAGGCAAAAGATTCCTTCTGATGTTGTCAGCCCTGGGTATGGCAGTTTCCCAAATGGTTTTAGCATATTTCTTCCATCTAAAAGACGACAAAGGTGAAGATGTAACTTCATTGTCTTGGTTACCGATCTGTTGTCTCGTAGGCTACATTATAACGTACTGTCTAGGTTTTGGACCGATCCCTTGGGCTGTCATGGGAGAGATGTTCCCAGCCAACGTCAAGTCTGTAGCCTCCACGGCTACAGCAGCCACTTGTTGGTTCTTTGGGTTCTTGATAACGAAATATTTCGGGATTGTGGCAGCTTTAATAGGGAAGTCTGGCAGTTTTGGGGTTTTTGGTGTGTGTTGCGTGGTAGGTTTCGTGTTTGTTTATAAGTTCTTGCCGGAGACTTCTGGAAAGAGTTTGCAAGAGATCCAGGATATACTCAACGGGAGGAGTACAACGAAAGATGTGGAAGAAGAGAAGAATTAAGTACAAAAAAAATGAGGGAAGGAGTACCGCTTAGATATTTGTTATTATTTATTTTGTTTTAATATATTGATATAAGAGAAAAAAAGGTATTTTCATTTTAATAAAGTAGAATTGAGATACATAATTGAGGACAACTTTTTTGCATTTTGATCTAAAATGGAATACATGTTTGATGATAAGATAATGCTGTTCATAACAATGTCAAAGTGTTTTTTTATCTGTGCTCAAGTTCATATATTACACCTTTTTATTCAAGAAATGATACTTTACTAAAATGTTATTTACGTCATAATATATATACAGAGTGTTTAACACTTGTTGTTAGTTGATTTGAAGCACATGTTTCACAAAGTGTAGTTTGAGATATTGAAAAAGTAATAAACTAAAACAATATTTTTTTACGCGTAAAAAATTGTTTTTACCTGTAGCAAATAGTTTTGTACGTGTAGCAAATAATTTTTACGTGTAAAAATTATTTTCTTACGTGTAACAAATAGTTTTATACGCGTAAAAATAGTTTTTTATAATTTTATAATATCTTTCCGATTTTGTATAATAAGTTTAAATAGGCTTGAAAAATTCGACAAATCAATGAGACATAAGTAAAAACACGACATACGATTAAGCATTTTTAAATATTTATAAAAATTATATAATTTTTATTATTTTTCACAATACCGTGAACAGAAATATTTTAAATACAATGCTTCCAATGGTACTCGGAATTTTATATGCCCAACTACCGGAAAATAACGTGTATGAACAAATAAAAACAATGTCAGAGTAGGTCTAGAAATATCATTTTAAATGGTATAGTGGCATTATAGGTTTGAATATGATTGAGTTTCTTCCATATAGGTACTCCAAACTAACTTAATTCTTCTGTTGATTTATTATAGTACATCATTTTAGTGAATATCTTGTTCGTTACTGGTTTCTTATTATTTATTCTTTCCCATATAATCTATACATTGTCTTGCTGGAACAACCATCTGAGTGGCATTTCTTCATCAGCATGAGGCAGCATATTATTCTCCAATATGTCTTTATACAAAAAACGGTCCATTATCCCATCAATTTTAACAAGAGGACCAACACCTGAGCGAGAAAAACACCCTCATACCATTATACTCCCACCCCCATGTTTTACTGTGGGCATCTGGTACTTATGGCTGTACCGTGTACCTTTTGGTCTTCGGACATAACGTCTCCCGTCACTACCAAACAGTTGAAACTTGCTTTCGTCGCTAAACAGTTCAGTATTCCATTTCTGATAAGACCAGGTGAGATGATCTTGAGCAAATTTAAAGCGGGCCATCCTATTTTTCTTGATATTAGTGGTTTCTTCACCGCAACTCTTCCAAAAAGTCCCATGTCATCCAACCTTCTTCTCACCGTGTGTGCAGACACCGATATTCCCCTTTCACCCATTTCTCGAGAAATGTCTGTGGATGTTTTTCTTGGATCTCCCATTGATATTCTCTTCATTACCTTCATTGTCCTGTTGCACAACTTTCTTGGTCTTCCTGACTTAAAAGCTGTTGAAACGTTCCCTGTTTTATTAAATTTACGAACTATTTTCGAAACGGTGCCTTTTAAAATGTTTAAATTTTGACTTATTTGAATTTGTTTATAACCGCTCTTGTATAATTCAACTATTTTATTTTTTAAATCCATAGAGAAATATTTAGACTTAGGCATGATGTTTATATTTATCTGAAGCAAATCGTACCGTTTATCAGCTTAAACTAAATAATTTTAATGTATTTATTTATGGTTTCCATACTTTTGGCCACAAGAAATCTATTGTTCTCCTACAAAAACTGCTAAACAGATTTTTTTCGCTGTGTAATTTTTGGAATACTTTTATTTGCTGATAAGCTGTTCATTTATATTCCTGAGAGTTTAAGCATAGCAATATTTTCTGTGATATTTCAAAAAGTAAAAAGTTTCCATACTTTTGGCCACCACTGTATATAAAAATTGTCTCCACATATTTTTTCTGTCTACAAAGCGTTGAGAAACAAATTCTGAGATCTATGAAAAATATATTTCCCGCAAATTTGATAAAAACAGGCGTCAATTATTCGATACCTAATCGTATAATGTAGTAAAAATTATCTAATAAATGCCGAATAACTATCGAATTCTCTAAAAGAATTAGGTAGAGGTATCTCGAGTGGATATTTAATACGATCATCTTCAATTTATCATGTTTCGAGTGCATCGGGTAACATGCTGGTGACGCTATTAAGTAAGGAAACGTCCTAATGTATTCTTTATCACGTATTAATTGGATGGCAGTGATAACATACCTGGGAATAATTTACAGTAGATTTTTAATTGAGTGTGTATAGTATTATTGATATACCCAGAAAAAATGTACCTATAGGCTTTAATTTTACAATTGACTACCAAAAGATAGATAATTTATATTATAATTTCTTTACATTTCATCGATTCGCTAATCCTGACCTTTAAACGCAAATATCTTGAACCCTGAAGTTAGATACACTATTTTTTTGGATACCCTGTATATCTGAAACAGCTGAAGATAGGTATAGGACACTGAAGTACATGAAAAACGTCTGGAATTATCTGAAGAATACAAAAATGGAATAATATGCTGGATGTTGCATTTAAAATAATAAAATTGGTATTGGCTACTGTTACTTGGCACACCCTGTATAAAAAGTTTGTGTTGAAAAAAATGCGCAACTAAAAATACTAATCGACCTGTGCGAGCGTTTTTTCTAGAAGGCTCTCATTGATTTGTTATTAAATTTATTCCGTTTAATTGATACACACTGTATATTATTGATTTGATATATTGAAATCACTGTAAATTGTGATGAGAAAATCAAATAATTTTGTCACATCATTCTCCAATCAGAGTTTACGACAAAACTGACAATAAAGACACTTCATTTGATTGGGGATTAAAGAAATTAAATAAAAGTCATATCTATGTACCGAGACACATATTTAAAAAAATTAAAAAAATGTTATTAAACAAAAAAAAATGGCAAACAATTCTACATTTTTCTGCAATGTGAAGTAGACAAACGGTAATCTTAAAGATAAATAAACAACTTGAAATACATACACTTAATTGAGTTGTGATATTACATAAAATATATAGTATATAATATAGTATATAATATAGTATATAATGTGTAATATGTAATAAAATCAGATTTAATTGATTTTGTAAAAGAGATTTTTTGACAAAATGGTGAAGGAAAAATTAAAATAAAAGCAACATATTTCAAAAATCCAAAAAAAATCGGAAAAAAATAGAAAAATTTAAACATGCATATATTTTAAAATTATAAATCACCTTAGGTAGAATAACCTATATTTTTAGCGAAAAATAAAATAATATGAACAAAGATACAAGATTTGGATTGAATTTCTTTTCAGTAATCAAATATTTAAGAAAAAAAGGAAGTAAATAACATAAAAAAATAAAAAACGTTATAAAACGAAAAAAAAGAACGGCAAACAGTTATTCTACATTTTTTTGCAATGTGAAGTAGATAAACGTTGTTCTGTGTAATCTTCAAGATAAATAAACAACTTGAAATACATACACTTAATTGACTTGTGAGATTACATAGTAAATATATGTTTAAAACCTTTTATTTACTATCTATAATGTGTAATATGTAATAAAATCAGATTTAATTGATTTTGTAAAATAGATTTTTTGACAAAATGGTGAAGGAAAAATTAAAATTAAAGCAACATATTTCAAAAATCCAAAAAAAATCGGAAAAAAATAGAAAAATTTAAACATGCATATATTTTAAAATTATAAATCACCTTAGGTAGAAGAACCTATATTTTTAGCAAAAAATAAAATAATATGAACAAAGATACAAGATTTGGATTGAATTTCTTTTCAGTACTCAAATATTTAAGAAGAAAAGGAAGTAAATAACATAAAAAAATTAAAAAAAAACGTTATAAAACGATAAAAAAAAGAATGACAAACAATTCTATACATTTTTCTGCAATGTGAAGTAGATAAACGCTGTTATGTGTAATCTTATAGATAAATAAACAACTTGAAATACATACACTTAATTGATTTGTGATATTACATAGTAAAGCTATGTTTAAAAGCTTTTATTTACTACCTATAATGTGTAATATGTAAGAAAATTAGATTTAATTGATTTTGTAAAATAGATTTTTTGACAAAATGGTGAAGGAAAAATTAAAATAAAACCAGCATATTTCAAAAATCCAAAAAAAAATCGGAAAAAAATAGAAATATTTAAACATGCATATATTTTAAAATTATAAATCACCTTAGGTAGAATAACCTATATTTTTAGCGAAAAATAAAATAATATAAACAAAGATACAAGATTTGGATTGAATTTCTTTTCAGTACTCAAATATTTAAGAAGAAAAGAAAGTAAATAACATAAAAAAATAAAAAAAAAACGTTATAAAACGATAAAAAAAAGAATGACAAACAATTCTATACATTTTTCTGCAATGTGAAGTAGATAAACGCTGTTATGTGTAATCTTATAGATAAATAAACAACTTGAAATACATACACTTAATTGATTTGTGATATTACATAGTAAAGCTATGTTTAAAAGCTTTTATTTACTACCTATAATGTATAATATCCTGTAATATGTAACGAAATCAGAATTAATTGATTTTTTAAAATAGTTTTTTTTTGACAAAATGGTGAAGGAAAAATTAAAATAAAAACAAATTTTTTTTCAAAAACCCCAAAAAATTCAGAAAAAAATGGGAAAATTTAAATATAGATATATTTTAAAACTATAAAACACCTTAGGTAGAATAACTTTTATTTTTTAGCAAAAAAATAAACTAATATGAACAAAGATACAAGATTTGGATTGAATTAGATTGAAAAAAAAACGTTATTCTACGTTCTTTTGCAATTTGAAGTAGATAAACGCTGTTATGTGTAATCTTAAAGATAAATAAACAACTTGAAATACATACATTTAATTGACTTGTGATATTACATAGTAAATCTATATTTAAGAGCTTTTATTTACTACCTATAATATAATGTATAATATCCTGTAATAAGTAACAAAATCGGAATTAATTGATTTTGTAAAATAGTTTTTTTTTGACAAAATGGCGAAGGAAAAATTAAAATAAAAGCAAAATTTTTTTTAAAAACACCAAAAAATTCAGAAAAAAATAGGAAATTTTAAACATTGATATATTTTAAAATTTTAAATCACCTTAGGTAGAATAACTTTTATTTTTAGCAAAAAAAAATAAAATAATATGAACCAAAATACAAGATTTAGATTGAATTTCTTTTGAGTACTCAAATATTTAAGAAAAAAGGTAGTAAACAGCATGGTACTTGATTAAATCAATATGCATTGTGCAATTTGATGATTAAGTAATAATAATAATAATAATTTGGCTCCTCTGAGATGTTTATCCAAGATTTCTAGATTAAATTAAACAAATAAATCAGTTAATTGCAATCATTGTTGTCATTTATTATAAATAAACTATTCTACAACTAATTGTTTACCAAAGATTAGGAATAGAAATCACTAAAAGAAAAAATATGAGTGATTACAGGAAAGAAATCTAGTTAAGTACAAATTAGAGTATGATTTATTACATATTATACAGGGTGTTTATTTGAAAGTTAATTTTATTTAATATAGGCAAATTATTTTTTATTTATTTTTGAGTTTTTTGAATGATTCCAGTCAATTGACACTTTTTTATCGATGGGCAAAAAAAAGTTTTTTTAATTTCACTCAAAATGAGTTATTTAGACCTAAATACAAAATATTTTCATGATGTCTGTCTGTCTGTCTGTCTGTCTGTCTGTCCGTCTCGTACATGACTCACAAAAACCGTATTGTAAACTATTGCCAAATACATAAAATTATGATATCAAAAAACTCTTTAACAGTTTTTTTTTAAATTAATTTGTAATCTTGTGACATCCTCTATAATTTATTTAAAAAAAATATATTTTATTTTGAAAATAATAAATAAGATAGATATTTTAATTTTAATTTTAACACTCGGTAATTGTAAATTCATATATAGTAAGTATCTAAGACGATTTTTTAAACTCAGTGCCTTTTGATGGAGTTGTTTCGTTTTTATACTATCCGATTGAAATGAATCTTTTTTGGCATTCACCTGTTAAGCTTGAACTCCCTGTGACTGTGACTACCTGTGTTGGTAACTATTGGTAACTCAAAAGATCTACATCATTCAATATATTGATATTTGAAAAAAAAGTGAAAGTTTGATATCTGCAGAACAAAGGCACGAAGGATTTTAACAAATAATATACGTACAGTAGAAAAGTACATACCTTTGGCAATCTTCAACATAATTTGGCTTTCTAATAAAATGTATAAGCACTTGTAAATATTTTGTTTTCCTATGATCTCTGCCTTGCTGAGCAGAAAACGACAAAATTTGGTTGATAAAAATGTATCGACATACAAAGAATATTCATGCATTTTTGTATCAATTGGAATGTCTACTATTTATTCCAATCAGTACACATTTTTTGGCTTATTACTAACCAAACGTTTTTGTCCCGCTAAATTTATCTTCCAACGCACTGTGCGCTCGTCCGTCAAATGCAAAAATAACTGTCACTGTCTAAAATCTTTAGCGCCAACTTCAACTCGGTCAGTAGATGACGTAAAAAAACTGACAGTGCAGGAAGATAGGAATCGAACTATCCTTATCCTCCCGGCGCCAATTTTTTTTTAAATAACGCTTCAAACATTGTTAAAACAGATTATAGGATATGACGGTTTTGCAACATATATTTTCAAAAACAATCTTAACAAACGTAAAGAAATATTATTTAACAAATTACCTATAGAGAGTTAGTTATTAGCAACAAGATATGATCGATACTATATGATTTATTGTAAATTTCCATAAAAATTTGGCAATTAAAGATAAAACAGACAATACATGAATATAAAATACGAAATCTTCAGCTATATAGCTTGATATCGATTCGCATTTCAATAATTCGTTTCGTCAATGATCTGGAGTGTTGTTGAGGACCCTCTTCACAATGATAAGATTGCAATATAATCGACCAATTTATACTAATGTTTAGTAGGTATCATTCGCCCAGTCAATATTTTCTAATCCCTAGCAGCTCAAGATCTACCTCAATAATATTGAAACCAGGAAAAACATGTTCGAATATTCGGTACTCAGTATTCTAGTTGGTAAGGAACATTTTTTATTCTATAAATTTTTGAGTGTAGTCATTTTTGTAATTTTTATTTCGAGTTCTTAGTACTGATTTAGGGTCAACTTTCGTTTAGCTGAAATCAGTTATTAGAAAAAAAAATTCTTTAAAAAGCTACTGTAAACCACGGAAAACACAAATTTTCCTGCGGAAATGCGTGATTTCCAAATTTCGAATAACTGAAATCTGCTATAAAAAAAACATTTTGCGTTTTACTTTTAATATTTTTCTGAACATATAAAATTACAGTTGAGGGTTGGAATCTTTGGTGTTACACAGCAAAATAAAAACACTAAATCACCACAATACACCAAAACACTTTTACTTTTACGCGCGTTTCGCTAACCATGTTAGCATCATCAGCAGATGATTATAAACTTAGTTTATAATCATCTGCATCCAGTGTAAAAGTAAAAGTGTTTTGGTGTATTGTGGTGATTTAGTGTTTTTATTTTGCAACATATAAACACAAAAATTTTCCTGCGGAAATAAGCTGTCTTCATTTTCTTAAGATATTTATTAGACTTTAGAATAGCTGAAATCAGTTATATAAAAAATAAATATATTTTTGCCTTTTAGAAGCGTTTACAAACTCAGGAAAATAAAAAATTTCCTGCGGAAATGCTTGATTTTCATTTTCCATTTGTTCCTTATTATATTATCGGGTCTTGTAAAGTATAAGTACCCACGAATTTAGCTTTTTTTTTAGCAGAAAGTTCTATGCTTATAGAACAGTTTAAAAGCAAAAAAAAATCCTTGGATGAAGCACTTTTGAACCCAAAAAAATAATTTAAAAGTGTCTAAAATGCTAACCAATCTAATAATAAATCTAATAATATTTTTACAAAATCACAGGTAATTATTAAAATATAAAAACCACAGCTTAGCACCCTCCACAAAGAAAAGCTAACCAAAGCAACCCAAATGCTAACCAATCTAATATTTTTGCAAAATCACAGTTAATTATTAAAATATAAAAGAAAACTGCATGATCCAATGATTTTTGTTTTGAATCAGCCCTATTTACGTAAAGCTTTAATAAAAAACAAGAATAAGTTCAACATTCCGAGGTACTTATAGGGTTTACAAGAACCTATATTATCTATTCTACAAGAATTGTTAATCCTCCGAAAGATGTTTTACTCCATCCAGCACCCCTATTCACTCCTGGGTCCCGTAAGGTTCTAAACTGAAAAATCTATGAAAAACAAAGTGCACAAAATGACATTGACACATTTTCGCAGGATTTGTTTTGTATTTGTTTGCTCGTAAAGGCTTGTATAAAACAAATATAAGTTCATTTTTCATGTAACTGATTTCGGCTATTGTAAAATCAAAGCATTTTTTTATATAAAATAAAAATAAAAAAATCCCGCAGACACTTTTTTGTGTATTTATGTTAAGAAAAATGTCTAAAACACACCGCCAAGGCTAGTTTTGATGTAACAGATTTCGGCTATACTAAAGTCCGAAAAATGAAAATGACGCATTTCCGCAGGAAAATTTTTGTATATTTGTACTCCTAACGCCTTCTAGAACCTTTGAATAAAAAGTCTAGAACGCATATACAGGGTGTTTCAAAACAAATGCGAAAAACTTTAGGGGGTGATTCCTTGTTCAAAATAAAGGGTAGTTTGCTTTATAAACGTTGGGTCAAAAGTCAACCATTAGGGAGATATCGCGGTACAAAGGTGGCGGAAAAATAATGTTTTTATTTTTTATCTTGAAAACGAAAAGAGATAGACTAATGAAATTTTATAGAAGCATTGCTGTTATGAAAACACACTTTCAGGTAATTTTTTTACTTTTTTAAAATAAGTGGAAGGGGTTGAAATAAACTACCCGTATCATTCTTGTTAACGAAATTTAAAGAAAAATCTTATCAAACACATGCAAATGTTTTAATTTGGATAGTTTAGTTTGTTTAGAAACTTTTTTACCTCTTGTGTTTTTTTGATAAAACTCACCGATTGGAAATTAAAAAATAAAATGTAAAGCATTACATGTCAGGACAAAAAACATTTTTAGATTAAGAATCTAGTGATAATAACGATAATAATAATCATCTAGATAATAACGTATTGCAGTAGAGTAATGGTCAAATAAAATAATATTAGGAACATCCTAAAAAGTAACAGTGGCCGACTAGATTTTTTCCTAAAAAAATTACAGCAGCCCACTAGTCCTAGGAGGAGTTTTTATGAATATGGAATTAGTTTGTAGATACATTTGTTGGCATTATTTTTTATTATTTTAATGGGTTATATATTTCGGTTAGGTGGGTTTATACCCGGGTAAATCGAAACTTAGTTTTTCGCAATAAATTCAAAACACCCTGTGGAAAAAATGGGACGGGCATTTTGGATAAAAAAAACACTTTCCTGTAATCTTAGGTATATTCCTAACATTTCATTTTTTGAATTATCCTATTATCTCTTCTTTTATGAGCTGCACATTTTAAATTAAAGTAGTCATATTTTTACGAACTTGAACCCTATTCGTGTGAACCCTTGTTATTGGCTAGATTTTTTAAATTTATCTGACTATTCTTTTTTTCTAGTATAGCTCAATGCAAAACTTGTCAGATTGACACGGGATTTTTGATAAATATAAGTACTAATATTAATTTTTATACTTCATATTCGTTGATAGACATAATTGAGATATTTGCAAAAAAATTCTATTGTTTACTAGAAAATTCAATATCTACGTTTTTAAATGCGTTAGAAAATTTGTAAATATGATCTATAGGCACACTTCTATTGGGATTTTATTTTGATTTGTTACACTGGAATAACAAAATATTTGACACAAATAAAATTAAAACTCAAGTAAAGATTGGAAACACACTGTATATCCAATTCGTCCAACTTATTGTTTACAATTTTAAAATTATTGTATCTATCAATAGTTCGTTGAATATTAATATACATCAGGAATTATATTAAATTTTAATTATTGTTATTACTTCGAGATCGTCTTTTACACTAAGGAAAAACCCTCTGTCTCAATTATTATAACTATATGTTGTAATAATAACCAATCACTATCTCTTAAAGGAAATATATAAAATATAAACAATTTTATTACGTATATATCAAAGTAAAGAATTCTCCAATTTAGTTTGTGTGGTGTGTTCTAACGAATATATTGATTGGCTAAAAAATAAATAAATTTTCTCTAACTTAAAAAAAAATTGTATAAAATATTATAAACTTTTTAGTTAAATTTTACTATTATAATGCAAGTGATATTTAGTTTGGAGTATTCAGTATTTAGCGTAATTACTGGTAATGTTGTTATTACTTTTTTTATTCATCATCATTATCATTTACAATATGGTGTAGTCTCCCTCACATATTTAGATAGTCTCTTTGTAGTTGAGCCATTGTTTTTTATTTTTGGCTGTGCGGGCCCAAGTTATCCCTGTTTATTTTTTTCCAACGCACAAGTCACAGAACAGCTATCTAGCAACTACCGCACCAGATCGTTCCTTGTGGCAAGTGAAAAAATGCGTATACTAGAAATAATAAGAAAAAACAGCAAATTGGTCGAATGAATTTACCCTTATCATTTACTCTGATAAATGTTTAAATAAACTTTTCAAATTTCAATCCTTCATATTTTCTCAACGACTTGACCGATTTTCAAAAACAAAATTGACGTGTTTTTGAATTTTCTGAAAAAAAAATTACCCTGGCCGTTATGCCAAGGTTATGCCTTGCGGAACGTTTTCGATGGGCCACACTGTATAGTATGATCGAAAAAAAAACGGTGTCAAAGACTGCGGGAGATGACAATGGATGGGAATTTTGGCGAGACTAATTTCTAGGTGCGTGTTTCGTTTTTTTTTCGATCGTATGGTATTACTCATCAAATCACTGACAAAGAGTTTGATAATTATTTTTTTAATTAAAATACTCAAAATATTTATCACTTTAATTAAACAATGAATAATGACGATCAGGACAGTAAGTTCCTCTCAGATTACAACATTTTTAGATAAAGACAAGGCTCGAAAGGTCAAAATTGTAATATTTGTTTGTACTGTAGATTATTCATTGAATTAATTGAATTTATTAATTTTAAATTAACACTTTTACTGTTAAATAACGAGAATGAATTGGATAAATACTTTTTTTATCTTATCTTTTATAAAATATTAACACATTTTCTCTTATTTCCAGCCACCGTCCTAGGCTTCATTGCTGGCTGTAATTTGACCTGGACCTCTCCAGAATTCGGCTACCTCAACTCAACAGACACCGGGCCATTCAATGGCACCCTCACAGACGCACAAACGTCATGGATATCCGGCGTTATGTCCTTGGGAGCCGCATTGGGTCCTTTCATTTTCGGCTACCTTGCCGAAAAAATCGGAAGAAAATGGACCATCTTGACTGTATCCATGCCGTTCGTTATTAGTTCGGTACTATGCGCTTTTTCCAGAGTTGTAGAAGAATTCTACGTGGCCAGATTCATTACTGGGATTTCCATTGGTGGTACCTTCACCATTTTACCTATGTACGTCGGCGAAATGTCGCTAGACGAACACAGAGGTGTTCTGGGATCTGTCATGAACGTATTTCTTTGTTTCGGATTGCTTTTCACATACGTTGTGGGAGCTTTAGTTTCTAAAGTGCTGATATTTAACTTAATCCTTGCATCACTCACCATAGCATTTTTCGTTCTGTTCTTGTTCATGGGAGTGGAGACTCCCCATTACTATGTGATGAAAAACAAGCATGATCTTGCCAAAGGGGCTCTGTTGAGAATTCGGAAACAAAGCGATCAGGAAACAGAAAAGGAACTGGATCATATAAGAACAATAATTGAGGGAGAGGAACAGGGGAACTTACTGGATATTTTCAGGAACAAAGGTTCGGTGAAAGCGTTTATTATTGGTAGTGGATTGGTGTTCTTTCAGCAAGCTTCCGGAATAAACGCGGTGCTCTTTTTCGCACAAAACATCTTCCAAGACGCCGGAAGCACTCTGAAAGCAAACTACTGTTCTATGATCATCGGTGCCGTTCAGTTTGGTACCAGTTTCATCACTCCACTAGTTTCGAATCTTTTCGGACGAAAAACACTGTTGATCCTTTCAGGAGTGGGTATGTGTCTTTCCGAGTCAGTCCTGGGAATCTACGACATCCTGAAAGACAGTGATGCTGACAAAGTCAGCTCATTATCGTTCCTACCCATTATTTCCCTGGTACTTTACATCATAACCTACAACGTAGGGTACGGTCCTCTACCCTGGGCAATAGTGGCAGAGATTTTCCCATCCAGCATCAGATCGGCAGCTGGTTCTTTGGTTACTTTCATTTGCTGGATTACGAGTTTCTTTATAACAAAGTGGTTCAAGGAGTTGTCCCAGGATTTGGGACAAGGGCAATGTTTCTTAGGGTTCGCTGTGTTTTCTCTGGTGGCTGCTGCGTTTGTACAGTTCTTTGTTATAGAAACTAAGGGCAAGACGCTGAAAGAAATTCAAGATGATCTTAACAATTGATTTGAGGGAGTGGATGTGAAGCATAAAATACTCTGTTGGGACGTCGTGAGATTCAAAAGAAAAATGTACAAAAAGTAGTTAAAGGTTTTAACTTTACAATGCTGTGATTTTAGAGTAATAATGTAATCTTTTTTTTAATACTGTACGTGCCTTGGTAATGTAAATATAAAATAAGATCAAAAAACAGTAATTAAAAGATATTTTTTTTTGACTCTAACTGTTTTATTGTTGTTGTTAAATGTTATAAAGATGAAATATGATCTAGAAAATATGCTCTGTTAAAAACTAAATTCATTAATATGTAGAATTTTCGGAAATTTTATAAAATAAACAAAATCTGTGAGATATTGTATATCATTGCAGTATTTTGACATGTAAAACCATTCTTGTCAATTTTGGTTACAAAGAGTATTATTGTTAAATTTGTTTAAATATTATATACAGGGTTGTTCACCACATACGACACGGAGTATTGTAGCTAAACGATGAGATTTTTACAAATTGTAAGTTTTGGGTTCGATGAAGGACTATTAGAGGTACAATTTAAAAATAATTTTACAAGATACAAAGTGTCCCAAATAAGTAAAAAATATCAAAGTTGTATTTTTTTAAATGGAACACCCTGTATATTATTACATTTTTAGTTTCTACGATTAAAATAAAGGTAAATTTGATTAAGATTTATTATACTTAAACCTTACCGTTTTTGAAATATTTTCAATTTTGTGAAATTGCAGTAAAAATTTTAAGGCTTCATTTCTCCAAGGGTATCAAAGTTTTTAATACTAAATATTTACTGAAGTTTATTTACTGATCAGTTATTGTGTTGCAATAATAAAAATAATACTACCTTATACAGATTGTCTAAAAATTTATTTTAAATAATTATTAGCTTCAAACGGCAATAACTTGTTTAATTTAAATGGAACACCCTGTATATTTTACGAGAATCAGATGCACAATTTAATTGTCTATCAAATTATATTATACCATTTTTTACCTATCTCTTTAAGTTTCCGTAGAAAATGCATTTTCTTGTAATTTAGAACTTATTTATCAATATACCCATGGACTATTGACATTTCAGATTATTTTTAAAGATGTACCAAATTTTTAAAGAGTACAGATACTAATATTGTCGATATAATTCGTTTATTTCATTAAAAAATAAAAAAAACTGTTTAAATATTTGTTAAAGAGGATCAATTAATATGATTCCAGCTGTGATTCCAGTATTCAAACTACATTAACTGACTGTTTGCGTTGATTAATAATAATTGCTCCAAATACTAAAAAACTGGATTTTGTATGGGCATTAGACAGTGTGATAAAAAGTAACACCTTAAAAATGATATTTCATTTTTTAATAAATGCTTATTTATAACAACAGAGACTTTAATTTGATAACTTATTATTATATTGATTTCGGACTCAAATCCACATTTATTTATAATAATTTATTAACGAACACAATTAAGTATGTAATTAATTAGTATATGGGCGGAAATAATGGTCATATATTTAATTAATGGTATACCTACTCTTTTATAAAGATTTAAATAGTTTTCTTTTTGCATACAAATGGGCTAGTAATATTATCGTTTTGCTAAAAACGATAATATTACTAGTCTGTACATTTTGTACATTTGTTGCTTTAAAAACAATCTAAAATGTCAATATTCCATGGATATATTGATAAATGAGGTCTAAATTATAAGAAAATGCATTTTCTATGAAAACTTGAAGGGATAGGTAAAAAATGGTATAATACAATTTGATAGACAATTTAATTGTGCATCTGATTCTCCTAAATATACAGGGCATTCTATTTAAATTAAAGAAGTTATTGCCGTTTGAAGCTAATAATTATTTAAAATAAATTTTTAGACACTCTGTATAAGGTAGTATTATTTTTATTATTGCAACATAATAACTGATCAATAAATAAACTTCATTAAATATTTAGTATTAAAAACATTGATACCCTTGAGAAATGAAGCTTTAAAATTTTACTGCAATTTCACAAAATTGAAAATATTTCAAAAACGGTAAGGTTTAAGTATAATAAACCTTAATCAAATTTACCTTTATTTTAATCGTAGAAACTAAAAATGTAATAATATACAGGGTGTTCCATTTAAAAAAATACAACTTTGATATTTTTTATTTATTTGGGACACTCTGTATCTTGTAAAAATATTTTTAAATTGTAGCTCTAATAGTCCTTCAACGAACCCCAAACTTACAATTTGTAAAAATCTCATCGTTTAGCTACAATACTCCGTGTCGTATGTGGTGAACAACCTTGTATAGTTTGCTAAAAAAGTATTTTTTATTATATTTACGCAATTTTCCAAAAAGATTTTCGCAATAGAAAAATACAATTTTTGTTTTTGTTATTAATAAATTGTTTTAAATATTATTTATTGTTTCTATAATTTCCTTTTACCTTAGTTAAATATACCGTATGATCGAATAAAAACGGCGTCAGCCATGGCTATGAAATGAAGATCGTTGTCATTTTATATGTAAATTTATATAGGAAATGCCATCGATCGTCATTTCCAAGCCAACTGGACGCCGTTTTTATTCGATCATACTGTATTATCATAGGTAACATATATATAGTCTATGTTATATAGCAGGAAAAAAAAACGGCGTCAGCGATGGCTATGTAATGAAGATTATGATACGGGGAATGTCATCGATGTGTTCCTTTTCAAGCCAACTAGACGCCGTTTTTTTTCGATTATACGGTATATAGCACGTGCTAAACATAAAACTATCATACGATGGAAATAAAGTGGCATCGGAAATAAATTGGAACAATGTCACCGATTGTCATTTTTCACGCCAACTGGACGCCGTTTTTTTTTCGATCATACGGTAGTAAATATCGTATGATCGAAAAAAAAACAGCGTCCACGATGGTTATAAAATGAAGATTGCTGTCATTTTATATGTAAAATTATATGGGAAATGTCATCGATCGTCATTTCCAAGCCAACTGGACGCCGTTTTTTTTCGATCATACGGTATCCACACGAAATTAATATACTGTACTTAATACTTACCTTTTGTAATAGAATTACTTTTTAACTCTAAAATTTAAAATTCTTGACGAAATGATGAACGGAAAAAATATTTTGTGTTCTAAAAATATATATTTTATTTTTTGCATACTCTGCGCACAGATTACAGATTAAATTTTTGGACAAATAAAAAAGAACATTTAAAACACTACAACTTACTATGAATTACCTACGTGTTAACATTCTCCAGTGAAGGAAGTAACTTACAGATCATAACTAGCCATGACAAGACAAGAGGAAAACAAAATCCAGTGGTAAAGAAATGTCAGATGTCGGTTAAGACCGGCTAAGGCAATTTAGTTAAATAATTTTTTATAATATATTTCTCTTAATTGAGGATGTAACCTTTGTTTTCAAGCCAATAGGCGTTCGATAAGTTAATAAAGCCATGGACTCATTAGTGTACGGAGTGTTGATTTATTGAATAAAAAATTCGAGCGGTGTCTACCGGACTACTGTGTGCATGACGATTGTGTAAGTGTTTTTTTTTATTACTTTTTGTATATTGTATTAAAATTAAGTTAGGTATGTACTAATTTACCATAAATACATATTAGAAAATGTTTATTGATGGCCAATAACAATTTTTTCCAAATAGTTGATGTTAGCACCATAAATGCATGCTTAAATATCTAGCCAAAGCTATTACAAATCTAATGATCGAAAAAAGGTTGCTCAACCAAAAAATACCAAGAAAACTAACACTTTGGGTGAATATTGAAAGATACTGTAGTATGCGAAACAACAGCTGAAGAGAAGGGACTAAAAATGAGAAATCTTTGCCCTATGTGCTCTTACAAAATAAAAAGAAACCTTGAGTATCTCTGTACAGTTTGTAAAAAAACCATTTGGCTACAGTGCTCAAGAAAAATATGTTTAAATTGCTGCGAGTAGATATAAAAATATTTGAGAATATTACTTTTTTATGTTTACGACGTATTTTTTTAAATGTTTGGACTAAATTTTCTCGAAAATAAAGACATGATTTAAAATTCCGTTACAATACGGAAATAGATTGAAATTTTGTGATTATAGTGATATATAATTTATATTGTTTTGTAACAAATTGCTCGCTATTTTATGGTATATGCTGAAGCTCTCCAAACCTTAATCAAAGCACGTGTGTTTGGAATTTTCTGAAATCTATACTAATATACAGGGTTGTTCACCACATACGACACGGAGTATTGTAGCTAAACGATTAGATTTTTACAAATTGTAAGTTTGGGGTTCGTTGAAGGACTATTAGAGCTACAATTTAAAAATATTTTTACAAGATACAGAGTGTCCCAAATAAATAAAAAATATCAAAGTTGTATTTTTTTAAATGGAACACCCTGTATATTATTACATTTTTAGTTTCTACGATTAAAATAAAGGTAAATTTGATTACGATTTATTATACTTAAACCTTACCGTTTTTGAAATATTTTCAATTTTGTGAAATTGCAGTAAAAATTTTAAAGCTTCATTTCTCCAAGGGTATCAAAGTTTTTAATACTAAATATTTAATGAAGTTTATTTATTGATCAGTTATTGTGTTGCAATAATAAAAATAATACTACCTTATACAGAGTGTCTAAAAATTTATTTTAAATAATTATTAGCTTCAAACGGCAATAACTTCTTTAATTTAAATGGAATGCCCTGTACATTTTAGGAGAATCAGATGCACAATTAAATTGTCTATCAAATTGTATTATACCATTTTTTACCTATCCCTTCAAGTTTTCGTAGAAAATGCATTTTCTTATAATTTAGACCTCATTTATCAATATATCCATGGAATATTGACATTTTAGATTGTTTTTAAAGCAACAAATGTACAAAATGTACAGGCTAGTAATATTATCGTTTTTAGCAAAACGATAATATTACTAACCCATTATATATGCAAAAAGAAAACGATTTAAATCTTTATAAAAGTATACCATTAATTAAATATAACACCATTATTTCCG